ATAGTTAGTATGGTAAAAAAAAAAAAAAACATTGTTTAATCTTTAGATAAAATACAAACTGTGAACGTCTAGTGTTACTCAGCGTCAACAATACAAGGATAAACTAATTGCCCCTCATATGAAAATACCGACAACAAATACTCACTGTTTGGCTGAAACTGTAAACTGAAAATAAAATCAGCAAACATCAATGAACATATAATTCACGCTGATCAATTGCAACCACAGACGTACCAAATCAATGACCTTACCGAAGACTTAATAAACACAACTTGGTATGGAACACGATGACCATTGTACGAACACGTCAACTTTTTTCCCTGTAACCTAAAAATGAAATCAAACAATTCACATTTTATGTTAACCGATCGGCAGAAGAGACGCACCGAATCAATGACTCTACCAAAGAAATAATAAACACAAATCCTCGTTTCCTTGGAAACAAACATAACAAAATGTAATCGATCTTCATGTTAACATCTTTAAGGAACAATTATCCATTCGTATAAAAACTGCAACCTAAAAACGAAAACAACAAAAGTTAATTAATCTTCATATTAAAATTAGCAAGGAACACACTTACCGTTCGGAAGGACTAATACAATTAATCATTCAAATAAATTGACCGAACAAAACCAATCATTCAAATAAATTGACCGAACAAAACCAATCATTCAATCAAACAATAATTGTTAAAATAGTTAGGAGATATACTTACAGTTTCGCATTAAAATAGTTAGAAGATATACTTACAGTTCAGAAGAACAAATCAAAATAACAACTCATCTGACAGTGTCAATCGGACATCCTGCCTTTATTCCATGTCAATTCATGAATCGTTGACCTGTAAACAACATAAAAAAATAAAAAAATCATTGATTAAAAAAAATATGAAGAACAGACATATTATTGACACAAACTAAAATGACCTATAAACAATTAATAAAAGACCACACTTATTGTTGACATCAACTAACAAATTGCGATGATACACAACTGAACATGCGCCCCTTTTATAACCCCTTATTTAGACCTTCTGAATACCAACACAATTAAATACGAATTGAATACGAAGAAAGTTTTCTGATGTCAATACAATGCACCTATATAATTATAGATAGCAATCCTAGACAAATGCCATTAAACCACAATTAGAAATAACAATCCAATACACCTGTATACTTGTTATTAATACATATCTTTGGAATGCCAATGCAATACAACTATATTATTATTACTATTATTAATTATTAATACAAATCCCACATTTTTAATTTATTAATAATTATATATGGAGCAATAAATACCAACTCAACATGTCAAGATAGAGCAATTTGATTGGCTTATCAATCCAATGTGTCAAAATAGAGCAATTCTAGAGCTTCCAAAATGTGTCACATGGTGATCAACATATATATATCAATCCAATGTGTCAAAATGAAACAATGTTAAAGCTTCCAAAATGTGCCACATGGTGATCAACATATATGGGTATTCAGCTTTATATATATATATATATATATATATAATCTCTATATTACTATCTTATATATAGGATATCTATAATATATAATATATATATATATTATAGAGAGAGAGAGAGAGGGAAGAGAGAGAGAGAGAGAGAGAGAGAGAGATTTTATGTTTCATCTAATTGACATTGCAATTGCGATACGGATTTCATGAATAAAACAAAAACTCATGGAGAATAAGATTTAAACTCAATTTCTGTATTTATTATAGAAAATAAATAAAATACAATAAGCAGTAGTCTACTACAATTTATACTTTTATCTCCAAAAATTCATAAAGAAATAGCTTTGATGTAACATATGAAATAACTTATTTTGTTCTTATATTTATATTGGTAAATTTCAACTAATAATATAATTTTATTTTTAAAAAATAAATAGATTTAGAGAGAATTAAATAATATTATTTTTTATTTGACTTAATATCCTTTAAAGGTGTTGTTACATGAGCATTCATCTAATTAGGTTAAGAAATAATATTAAGAAATTCAATTTTCCATATATGTACAAGGGTTTAGTAACAATATGAATTGCTAATTGTTAAAAATAAACTTTACTTTGTACAAGAAAATACAATCCAATAATGCTAAACCTTTTTTTTTACAACTAAAATTAAGGGTCTGCTTAGAAGTTTTTTTTTTTCTTTTTACTGGTTTGGTGGGGTTTTTAATTAGACTGGTTTTGAGGTGTTTTAAAATCATTACTTACCAGATTTTTTATGCACTAGTTTTGACTGGCTCAAAAACCCCTCAGAACCAGTATAGTGTATTTTTTAGGGGTTTATAAAACACCCAAAATCGGGGGGTTTTGGTTGGTTTTAAAATTTTATTCTACAAATACCCTGTTCACTATAAAACTATCCCAATTATATCCAAAAAAAATTTTAAACATATTATGCGCGTCTCCAACCATATTAAATATAAAATAATTCTAAGCAATCAAAAAAAAAAATTATTAAAATCTCATTTCTAAATGTTTTCTTGGAGAAGTGGAGCTACAAATATTTTTCAATCATTTTAGATGTTGTAAAGAATGGCGAAGAATGATAGGGAGACTTTACCACATTTGGAGTTATAAAATATTAATAAGTAGAAAACAAATAAAGAATTCTTACCTTATAATTGAAAAAACAAAACTCCTAAGTACAGGTTGAAGTTTGAGTATTTTTATGGGCATATATGTAAATTTATCATTTTAGAAAACTGTCAGAACCGTTAGAAAATAATCTCTCAAGCATAGGTTGGGTGTTTTAAAAACCACTACTAAATACCTCTCAAAACCATTACGGTGGTTTACCCTCAAAACCGCTATGGTGATTTACCCTCGTAACCGTTACTATGAAATTCTCAAGCGGTCCCTAAAGGATTTACTAGGGGTGAGCGGTTATGGGTACCTTGCATTTTTTAGGGGAACCGGAACTAGAATTGCACAGTGTATGTTCCCAAAAAAAGGAACCGAAACCCCACAGTGCAGGTTCTTAAATTCAAGGAACTGGAACCTAAATGTAGGTTCCGATTCCTTTCTCGGTTACCCTATGAAAAATCAATTACCCCTTATTAGTTTAAAAAATGACAAAAATACCTTAAAAGTTTATATATACACCCCTAACAAATTTTGATTATTAATTCATTTGTGTCCAATGTGACTCATAAATCCTTTAATCTCTAGACAACACTTGAATTCAATCAATTCATCACAATTCACATAAAATTCCTCAATCAAAACCAAAACACAAACAATTAATTAAATAATTATACTATAAATCTATAATTTAATATTATAATTAATTAAATTTCTAATCATTTAATTGAGTATTGTACTAATGTTTATAATGTAATATTATAATTAATTAAGTAATCATATTATAAATGTATAATGTAATGTTATAATTAATTAAATTTTTAATCATTCAATTAAGTAACGTACTAATGTAGTAAATTACTAATGTTTATAATGTAATGTTATAAATTTATAATTAATCAAGTAATCATTTAACTATGAAATGTTATAATTAATTAAGTGATTATAATATAATGTAATGTTGTAATTAATTAAATAATTATTTAATTATAATATAATGTTATAATTAATTAAATTTTTAATCATTTAGTTAAGTATTGTACTAATGTTTATAATAAAATGTTATAATTAATTAAGTAATCATTTGTTTATAACGTAATATTATAATTAATTAAGTAATCATATTATAATTTGAAATGTTATAATTAATTAAATTTCTAATCATTTAATTAAGTATTGTACTAATGTTTAAATAGAATGTTATAATTAATTAAGTAATCATTTGTTTATTACGTAATATTATAATTAATTAAGTAATCATATTATAAATTTATAATGTAATATTATAATTAATTAAATTTCTAATCATTTAATTAAGTATTGTACTAATGTAGTAAATTATTAATGTTTATAATATAATGTCATAATTAATTAAGTAATAATTTAATTATGTGATCATACTATAATGTAATGTTATAATGAATTGAGTAATCATATTATAAATCTTTAATGTAATATTATAATTAATTAAACTTTTAATCATTTAATTAACCATTGTTCTAATATTTATAATAGAATGTTATAGTCATTTAATTAAGTAATCATTTGTTTATAATGTAATGTTATAATTAATTAAGTAATTATACTATAAATCTATAATGTAATGTTATAGTTAATTAAATTTTTAATTATTTAATTAAGTAATGTATTAAATTACTAATGTAATATTATAAACTTATAATTAATTAAGTAATCATTCAACTATAATGTAATTATATACTTAAAATTTGATAATTGAAGTAAATAACTAAATATTATATTATTATTCAATCAAATATACTATTTTATTTAAAAATAATTATTTTAATAACATTAAAACACTTTTAATTGGTCCTAATTCCAATTATACATTTAATTAATCAAAACTTTAATATTAATATATTAAAGTTTTGTATATGGTGTAGTTTATATGTAATAAGTATAATTGTATATTTATTTAATTAGGTTATTGTAAAAATTTAACTTTTTTCATTTTAAATTTTTTTATTTGTAAAATTATAATAGACCCCTATTCTTCACAGATATTTATTTCAGCTCAGGTTCCAAAACAGGGTACCTGCTGTAGGTTCCAAGCCAGGTACCCATTACAGGTTCTTTTTTCTAGTTTCTGGTTCCGATTCCGGTTCCTCCACATGTAGGAACCGGAACTAGAATTGCACAGTATCAATTCTAAAAAAATGGAACTGGAATCTACCCGCACAGTGTCGATTTCAGGTAGGTTCTGGTTCCGATTCTGATTTTGATTCTAGTTCTGGTTTTGGTTCTTCCCATAGATTCTGATTCTATCCGATACCCGTACCCACCCCTACCCGATTTACATTACACTTGGAAATAAATTTTAAATATATTAATATATACTAAAAATTGACGGAAACTTTATCCACTGAAGTTCCCAACTCAAAATGAGAGCAAACAAAGATAAAAAAACAAGAACAGCAACGACAATGCGACCGTCGTCTCCGCCGAGAAGACGGACCCAAACCACCACCACCACCGCACCCTCTGCCTCTGTTCTGGATAGTGAACTCCTGACTGAGGAAGAAACTACAACTTTCTTTAGAAACCTTCAAATTTCATCTCCAGATTCGAGCGCAAATCCTAGGAGTTTCCCGTACAGCGTGAAGCAACAGTGCTGGGAAAAGGCGGAGAAGGTCAGAGGACGAGACCCAGATCGCTGGCGGAGAGACGCTGTCGGTAACATTGTTTTTAGAAAGCTTGTGGGCTGTCCCGGTTGTTTGTGCCATGATTACGATCATATTTTGCCTTACTCCAAGGTACTTTTTATATATTTTTTTCAAGAAGATTTTCTCTTAATGTAGGTATTGCTGGTTTGATTTTTGTGAAGAGGGTTGCTTAAATTTTGATTAAACAAAATGAGAAGCCTTTCTGTTGTCTCTTATTATTATTTAAGTTAACTCTAGATGTTAAAAGAATTTGAAGATATTGTTTTGGGGTGTTTGATTAGTTTTAGAAATATATGAGCTGAGCTACTTTGAATGTGTATTAAGAGTAAAAAGAAGAGGAAACTAAAAATGTGGAGATATGTGTCAATTTAGATGGTGGATTCCCGGGTGTAGGTTAGTGTGTATATTAAAAATCTATCCTTTAGCTAAAATAGAATTCAATTTCTTTATGTTTGGAAGTTACATTATACTGTTTATTATTTTATTGTTCATACCAATTATATAAGGGAGAAAACTTTTTTCTTTTCTTATAATCAATGCAAATTATTTACAAATGACAAACAATTTTCAATGCATAATCTGAATTTATTTTTGTCGCCTCCTTTAGATCACACATTAAGACCAGTCGTGCAAATAGTCACATTCCATTCCTCTGCCAATCATGCTACTTAGACTGGAGGATGAAATAAGAGGATAAGGCATAATTAGGGAATGCATCCTGCTTTCAACTGTGAGAGGGTTAATTTTTTTCCCTCAATTGTGTATGTTTGCTATTTGGTTCGGCTGGATGATGTCTTCAGGTTCTCTCTTTCTATAGTGAAGATTTTAGTTTGAGGAATGATTCCTGTGAGACTCAAGTGATAATACTGGTTAGAGGCACAATGTGATTATCATTTTTTTCAGAATTAGACGGACTAGTAGATAGGAGAAAGTCTAGCTTGGGCTGCATGAGATGGGGGATGAGTTGAAGTGCTAATCTGTTGGTGAGAAGTGTGGTAGATGATTAGATTGAAAGGGACTCAGTAATACTAATAATACTATGCATTACAATAGTGATATTGAGAGTAAATAGGAATTTGGATTATGGCTCCTAATAACTGGCTGTTTCAGTTCAAATAATAACTCAAGCTTGCAAAATAATTTGGACTGCAAGTGAAAACTAATGCTTGCGAAATGATTTGGAGGGCGAGTGTTAACTAATGCTTACAAAATGGTATGGTATGCTAGGGCTTTTGTACCCCCTTGAATGCCAGTTTTGGTTAATCATTTTTATAGTCATTTTCTTATAAAACAAATTCGTCGCAGATTTCATGCCTGCATATTTTTGTGCCTTTTGACCTAAATTCACTGCATTCGCGCCCTCTCCAAGGGTGGTGTTAGAAGATGCATTTGGTTAGAGATCAATTCATTCTTAAATAATCCAAGGGTTTGTACTCTCATTGGTAGAAACATTCTAGGGTTAGGATGACTGTTTATTTGATGGTACTTATGTGCTCTAATTGTTGATGATAATTAATTCATCAATCTTGAGATGGTTTCTATCCAAAGAGGGGAAGAAAAAGTTAAATGCTGTAATATGCATGAAGATATGAGAAGGAATGAGTGACAAAAACCTTGACATGGAGTTTTGGGTGGACGGAAGGATTGAGATAGAATATATCTGAAGTTAAGAATTGATTTGTTTTTTCTGTTACCAGACCATGATTGATTTATTCATAAATTAAGCCTTTTTCTGTCATCCGTTGGGCCTGAGTAATTGCTTGAATCAAATTGTTCATGTATGTAGAACCTATTTTAACACGTTGCCAATTCTTAGTTCGGCTGATCATGTTGATGTGCAATTGTTTTGGTTTTTGGGAAACTTTAAGCTAAAGAACCATTTTCCTTTACGGAATGGATCAAAGGAACTGAATTTAAATTTTTTAATTTCTTTTTGGGCAGGTATAGATATGCTCTCTTAACTATACTTTTTACGTTTTTTGTATCTTGAATTCACTTGGATTGTCTGATCGATTGAACATCTGTCTTCGCAGGATTGTTATAGATGCCTGTTTTCTCTTTTAGGAAATTCAATCCTTGACATTTGCTATTTATAGCTTTAGTCTTAAATCTTGTAAATAATTTGCTCCACCTTTCTAACCTATGAATTTGGAGTCTTTATTTTTGTTGTGGTTGCAATAAATGAATAATCTCTACTTTTTTTTTTTTCCGAAACTGCTACCAGAGACCTGATTTTACTAATAATATTTCAGGGGGGGAAAAGCACGCTGGAAAATTGTCAGGTTTTACAAGTATGAACTTTTTTTTTCTTTTTTTTGTCAATAATTATGACACTTAAGGTTGAACTTCTATAACATTTCTTGAGCATCTGATGCAGATAATATATTATTACAATTCTTTAGGAAAGAGGATTTTATTATTTTCCACCTCTTTCCTTATATTTAGGTTTTCTTGTTTAAATTTTCTTATTTTGTTATAGTATTCCTAATTAGATTCAATTTCTTGTTTTAGGAGTTTTCCATATTAGAATAAGGTTTGTTTCAATTAATAGGATTATTCTTTTCCTAGTTAGTTAAGGATAATTCTAGTATAAATAAGATAACAGTAGTCAGTTTGTGTACTGTATCTTTTCTTTAATTCAGAATTTTAATTCTAAGGTTTTCTTTATTGTATCTTTTCTTTAACTCAGAATTTTAATTCTAAGGTTTTCTTTAGCTATGTTCTATTGTTCCAACCACAAACAGCCTATTCTAGCCCTAATTGTTGAGATCTAACCGCCCTAAACTATGGTTGGTAGAGGCAGAGGTCGAGGTAGAGGCAATCAATCTCAACAAACTGAGTTGGCTAAGATGCAGAGGATGCTTGAGGACTTGATCTAGGCTGTACAAGCCTTGCAACGTCAGGAACCTATGGAAGCCCGAATGGAGAATCCGGAAGGTGACCACAAACAACTCGAGATATCAGAAGATCTTGAGACTAAAGAAGAGTATTAGATGTTGTTGATGATGAAATTGAGGTTAGCGACAATGATCACTTCAATGATTATTTTGATGATCATGATGAAATCTTTGAAGAAGAATCAATTCCTGAAGAAGAAAATTGCTTTGAAGTACGAATGGTTGATTTTGAAAGAAATTCTTTTGTCATCAATTTTTGTGAAGACGTGCATGAGCACTCCAACAAGATAAAGTTGAAGGAGATTTTGTTTCAAACAATAGTTGACAAAATAAAGTTGAGATGATTGACTACTGTTGTCCTATTTATACTAGATTGATTTTTCAATTCCAATTGTTTGAAGCAAAATCTCCTTCAACTTTATCTTGTTGGAGTGATCATGCATGACTTCACAAAAATTGATGACAAAATAATTTCTTTCAAAATCATCCATGTGTACTTCAAAGCAATTTTCTTCTTCAGGAATTGATTTTTCTTCAGGCATTGATTCTTCTTCAAAGATTTCATCATCAAATTGTGGTGGTTCATCATGATCATCAAAATAATCATTGAAGTGATCATTGTCGCTAACCTTAATTTCATCATCAACAACATCTTATACCCCCCTTCAGTCTCAAGATCTTCCGAAATCTCGAGTTGTTCGTGGTCGCCTTCTGGATTCTCCATTCGGGCTTCCACAGGTTCCTGACATTGCAAGGCTTGTACAGCTCGAGCCAAGTCCTCAATCATCCTCCGCATCTCAGCCAACTCGGTTTGTTGATGCTGATTGCCTCGACCTCTGCCTGTANCATAGAGAAATAAGCATACAATATAAATACATATAAAGTCCTAATAGAAAGTTATAAGGATTCCTATAAAATTAAGGAATTTGTCTTGTGTTAGGATTAGGAATCCTTAGCTTATTTCATTTTAATTAAAGCCCTTCATAAAAATAATATTGGAGTCCTAATCCAATGGGGAATTGTTCAATGAATAACACAACTTTAATTAATTACTGTTTTAATTCTTATAAAATTACTCTATCTGAAACAATATTCAAGACATATTTATTCTATTCTTATAAGATATTATAGAAAATTTTGCACACATTTACCCATTAGAAGTGTTCAACGTTCATTATTATACCACCTACTCCAATCATCAATAAACACTAACCTCTTCATCCTAACTTTGTTATGTTGTCTCTAATTTTTCGTTGTTGATGTCTTGGTCAAGTTTGTAATTAATTAAAGTGTTTTCATTCATACAATTGCCATTGGATTATGATTCTTACTTTCTAAATGGACAATGTTACAAACGGCTCTTAAAGTCATTAAATTTATCATTGGGATAACAATTTCCACATATTTTTTTTATAAATGGACCTTTAAAGTTTGAAAACCGTATCATGGTTACCTCTTTATCCTAACTTTGTTATGTTGTCATTTGTGGTATATGGGTGTAAGAAAATGTTTTATAAATTAACCTGACTGCAATTTAACAGAGTTAGGGCAAATAATTATCTGTGATAAAGTTTTTTAAACTTTAGGGTCAAATTGATAAGGCAAAAGATACCAGTGATACGTTTTTCAAACTTTGAGGATCTATTAAAAAGAAAAAAAATGCTAAAATTGTTATTCAAGTGATAAATTTGAAAACTTTAAGAATGCGTTTGGATCGGGGGCATATAAGATAACGAGGGTAATATTTGTTTATTTTGCAAGACTCCGGTGTTTAGTTTGCAAGTAATAAAATATTACAGGAATCTTTTATTGTAAATAGTGTTTACTGTTAGTAATGTAGTGGGTAATTCGATACCCTCCCCCAAGGGTGTTATTAAAACTTTATCGAGTAATCTAATTTTTATACTTATTTTGCCCTTAATTAAATACCGTTTTGGACACAATTGTCCTCAAATGTCTATCAAATAACAATTACCCAACCTCCCTATATTTGAGAAATTAGTTAAAACACCCCAGCCACAAAAAAATTTAAAAATTAACAAAATACCCTTAGCCACCCAAAACCACCGTCGACCATTACTCACCACTGCATGCCAGCCGCCAATGTCAGTCATCGTAATAGCGCACGATCGGGGGGATCTGGTTGGTCATACGCCGATAAGTCATTTTCTAGCCAAATCTGGCCGTTTCTATGGTCGTTTGACGACCAAAGATGTGGTCGTGAAATGGCCACAAATCTGGCCATGAAATGGCCATGAATTTGTGATTCATGGCTGGAAATGGCTTTGCCGGCGCACGGCCAACCATATGCAGTCAATCGTGTGCCATTCCGTCAACTGTAGACGACAACTAGCGATGATGGTTGGCTGCCAGCAGCGGCTTGGGGTGGGTGGGGCTAATTTTGCTCCAAATTAAAGTTTTGTATGGCTTGGGTGTTTTAACAAAATTTCACAGGTAAGGGGTTAAAATAAATTATTCAAAAAATAATATTATATTAATATTTAAAAAGGAGGGTAATTTAGTAATCTATATATATCCACCAATTTATCCTCTCAACCAAACATATTATTCACCAATTTATTCGAATCAACCAAACACATTTCTTAAACATTCTCAGTAATCTTCAAGGTGATCTATCTTTTCGTTAATCTAACGATCTCCCTATAGTAAAATATTAAATGATTCAAATGCCCCCTAAAGGTAAAGAAGGATTCGGAACACAAATTTCTTAATTTTATAGAAACCCTTATGTGAGACTTATTAGATTTGAACTTTGGCTGTAATATAAAAAAACAAATAAATATCGACTTTAGAATTTTATGAAAAGGAGCTTTGTAACTTCAATATAATTCGGATTAGGCATTAAATGAAATGAAATTAATATTATATAATGTGTCTCATAAACTAATATACAAATAACATTCACAAGCAAAAGATTAAATTAGAAATGGCAAATATTCCAAGAATATGCAAATATTACATGTAGCTTTATTTTTCCCGTTCTTCAATATGATTATTACTGGGCAGATAATATTACTATATACTCTTTATAAACATTAAAATTTTTATAAAGTATAACTATACATCTCAAGTTTTTATTTCAAACTTATATATTTGAAATGTTGTAACCTGGATTTTACTATTATCTTGTGAGTTATGTATTATTCGAACCAACCAAAGTTCCTATTTTGAAGTACCCTTGGTATCACTGGGCTGACCACCATCTTGGCTGCTACCTTGGCCACCACCATCCAGAACCACCGTCCGAATCTTGAACCGGTCAAGCCTCAATGGCGATTCATCGCCATCTATGGCACGACTACGCGGCGAACCAATGCTTAAACTCCTTTGCAGAGTTCTCACACCTCTCATTTTACCATCAGATTTCATTACTGGCGATAACGCTGTACCATTTCTCTTGATAAAATCCACAAATTCATCATGAATTCCTGGAAAAGTTTTCTTGAACAAGTCTCCTTTCCGAACATACAATTTCCTGAAATATTCCAACAACACAACTAATCTCGGATCAATTGATTTCCCAGAACCAACTTTTGGATTCTCCAATAGTGAAAAGTCATCATGTATGCCCAGAAACTGAAAGTTCCCACTACTCGAACATGCCATATCCTTTTCATCATCCAAGAAATTCCCCCCTCGATAACTTTCCGGTGCACAAGAATCCGGCCTTGCCGCATTGTAACGATCTTCCATGAACATAAAATTTGTTCCACAAATTGAGATGATGAACACAGAAAATTTGAAATAAGCTTAAGCTTGGTGTTTCGTGAGATTAACCAGAAATAATTGCTTAGTGTCTGAAGTCATGAGTTTATATATATATATACACATGAAGATTCACTTGTTTAGCAATCAAATGTTTGACAAATAAAATTTTGAAGGCATGACCAAGTCATTGTTTCTACGCGACGTGAAGCTGAGTCATTTTCTTGGATAATTCTGGCCATAGGCTCAATCACATTTTGACCCCCAATCTATTGTGACAAGAAATTTTCTTCTCTTGGTTTCAGAAACACTTAATATTACCCCCATTTTCTAAATTCATGCGTTATAACTTAACCTTGAAAGATCATTTATTTCATGGTTATCAAATCGTGTATCGTATCGTGTATCAAAAACCTAATTTTTTGAATCGTGTATCGCGTATCGTATCGTATCGTAAGATACGTCTTTTTCAAAAAAAAAATAATAAAATAATCAAAATTTTCTAAAAATTAATATAATCCCCAAGATTAATTAAAGAATTTTGTGGTATTATTGACTTTAAATTACGGTATTACATAATCAAAATTAATCACAAAATTCCAAGATCAATGTCAATATCTATATCTCCACTTATATTATTATTATCATGTAAAATGGGCAATACATATTCCTCTTTACTTTCTCCATGCAAAATAGGTAAATTTGGACAAGTTTTAGTGAATCGGGTTGGGTGACCCGGTTTCGACCCGATTTTTTTTTTGGACATTTGACCCAAATCAATAAAATCGTATCGATTTATATCGATATTTTTAAGGATACGAACGAATACGTATCGTATCGTAGGATACATATCAACGTATCGAATGGTTTAGGATACACCCTCTGATACGTATCGTTGGCGACCTGTATCGAATCGTATCGTATGATACGTATCGGGTATCGTAGGATACTAACAACCATGATTTATTTATCAATCTAATGTTGAATTAGGTTATCTATCTCGGAAACACTAAATGTTACTCTCATTTTTTTAATTCATGTATTAAAGCTTAACCGTAAAAGGGCATTCTTATCAATTTACCTCATATATATAACACTATGCAGATAGACAACCTAATCTAACATAATGAATTGACAAGAATGTCTTTTCATGGTTAAGTTTTAACGTCTGAATTCGAAAAAATAGAGATAACATCGGATGTTTTTGAAACCAAGGGGAAACACTGTCCTTCAACAATAGATTGGGGGTGAAAATGTCATTCATAATTTCAAACTGTGATATGATATGTTTGAATTAATTAACTAACGATTGTTTCTTGGGTGCGTGCGTAGTTGTGGAGGCTTAGAACTCACGTTTTTGATCTTCCATAAGAAAGAAACTTAGTTCATTAGAAGAGACAAACACATTTTGTACCAGAAAGTTTCAACAAAGTTTTATTAATTTAGCTTAGACAGGATTTTTATTTTATTTTTTATTCTAGTTTAGATAATTTCTGGTTCTCCACCAGATTTAACTTGGAAGACAGGTAGTTTGACCATGTAGAATCAGTCATCGTTTTTCAATAGGAAATTATCAGCGTTTCTTGTAGCTGTATCACTACAGCTAGCAAGATCTGCATACTAAATCAACATTAATTTCGCAGCCCGCGACTCAGGCGGTATTAGATTTTGATTTAAAAATTTTACTAAATTCTAAATTATTGGAGATGGACAGATGATTCAGTTCTTTCTGCTTTCTTTCTTTCTTGTGAAAATCAGCTTAAAAATAAATATTTACAAATTTCCATCAATTTTTTCTGTAAAAAAACATTATATTTTTAGGTTATGATTCATTTCTGTAAATCGATCTTTTTAATTTTTTCAGTACAAAACGAATTAATAAAAATAAAAGTATACACCCTTAAATTTTGGTTAACTCGTCTCCCGATCGAAGAATCAGAGATTTGGAATTTTAGAAAATAAAAGATCTTCGCATATGTAAGTATAAGAATTTATATCTTGGTTAGGCTATATCTAACTTAACTTTGTTACACAAATTTTCAGCCCTGAATTCAATACAATTTTAATGGTGTCCGAGTTGTTGAGGTGATAAACAAAATAACTATTTTTAACTTCTGTTATGCCTCAAAAGTCACGCCTATGTCAGCTCATTTAATGTCTTTTTGTACTAGTTGTCAAGCCCATATCTCCAAAGATATTCTCACCAACCATATCTCATTTCAAGAGATGAATGAACGAGAGCCTTCCATGTGTCAAGACAACTTGCAGAACACTCATTACATTGAGTGCAAAGGTGTATAAATGGGCACTCCTCTTCCCGAATAAGGAGGCTGGGCTGAGATTTGAGCTTCATTTTCATTATCTCTCTGTAAACATTGTATTTCTTAATCTTTGTATGCCTTACAGGCAAAATCATAGAAATAGTCAGTGAGCAATAAAATAACAGTGGATGTAGGAGTCGCTTGTTGCATCCGAACCACTATAAAAACCCCTCTTGCCAATCTTTTATTTATTTTTCTGTAAAATATATAATCTCAGCTTCATATTCAAATCTCATGGATTCATCATGTGTGTCTCTTGAGTCCACTTAGCGCTTCTTACGTGTGAGTCGTTGACATTCAAAATCAAGCGTCAACAGTTTGGTGGCCCATGCAGGTCCGATTCTCAAACCTACGTCCAAGTTCTCCGATCGTGTGGACAGATCATAGATCGCACGCGTCCGAGTTCTTCGATCACGTAGCCAGATCATAGATCGCACGCATCAGCTCTCTAATCGCGTGGCCAGATCGCTAATCGCACACATTAGAGCTTCGATCGCGTGGCCAGATCGCAGATCGCACGTGTCAGAGCTCTTCGATCGCGTGACCAGATCACAGAACACACATGTCAGAATTCTCCAATTGCGTGGTCAAATCGTTGATCGCACGCTCAAATCGCACGTTCAAGACTGTTCAGATCACGTGCTCAGATCACCCAGATCATGTGGCCAGATCGCTTATCGCAAGCTCAGATCGTGCTCGTTATGTGCTCAGGTCGAGCCTAGGTCGTACTCGTTATGAGCTCAGGTCGAGCCTAGGTCGTACTCGTTATGAGCTCAGGTCGAGCTCAGGTCGTGCTCGTTCAGGTCGAGTCCAGGTCGTGCTCATTATGTGCTCAGGTCGTGCTTGGTTAGGTCAAGCCTAGGTCGTGCTTGTTATGTGCTCAGGTCGTGCTCGTTATGTGCATATTGAACTCGTTTAGCTCAGATTGAGCTCGTTTTGCTCTCAAGTTGAGCTCGTTTTGTTTTCAGGTCGTTTTCCTAACAGATTTCAGGTCGTTTTCCTAACAGATTTCAAGTCGAGCTCTTCAGTTCGAGACTGCAGCAATTCAGATCAGAGACTTAGTTTCTGAAGCGCAATGACGCACTTCAAAAACTGGGGGGCTTCTGTTATGCCTCAAAAGTCACGCATATGTCAGCTCATTTAATGTCTTCTTGTACCAGCTGCCAAACCCATATCTCCAAAGATATTCTCATCAATCATATCTCCTTTCAAAAGATGAATGGACGAGAGCCTTCCATATGTCAAGGTAACTTACAAAATACTCATTACATTAAGTGCAAAGGTGTATAAATGGGCACTCCTCTTCCCGAATAAGGAGGCTGGGTTGAGATTTGAGCTTCATTTTCATTCTCTCTCTGTAAACACTGTATTTCTTCATCTTTGCATGCCTTACGGGCAAAATCATAGAAATAGTCAGTGAGCAATAAAATAACAGTGGATGTAGGAGTCGCTTGTTGCATCCAAACCACTATAAAAACTCCTTTTGCCAATCTTTTATTTATTTTTCTGCAAAATATATAATCTCAGCTCCATATTCAAATCTCATGGATCCATCATGTGTGTCTCCCGAGTCCGCTTAGAGCTTCTCACGTGCGAGTCGTTGGCGTCCAAAATCAAGCGTCAACAGTTTGGGGCCAAACTGTTGATGCACGATTTTGACACCAACTAAAAGCACGCGTGAAATGTTGAGTTGGCCCCAAAAGACACACGTGAAAGGTTTTTAGAAAAATGAAAGTAAATGCAGTGAGAAAAGAGTTTTAAAGTGGTTCGGATGCTAAGAAAGCAATCCCACGTCTACTGATATTTTTATTTATGATGATGGTCAGGTCGCTTTAGAGAATGACTTACACTGATGATACAAGGTATCAAAGATTGTCTTTTCTAGAGAGATGTTTTATTTTTTCAAGAGTAAAATGTGTGAATCCCTTAATGAGAGAGGAACTCCCATTTTATAGTGGGATGTCTTGAGGCAATCATCACTGAATCTGCAAGTTGGTGAGATGATCTGTGCAATACTTTGTTTAGAGAATTCACGTGATTTGCCGCAGGGGTTGGACACGCGTGATCACACATCTCTTTGCTGGTTGACGTGCACCCATTACTCTGACGGAAGGAAGCTGTGGGTGCCACCGTGATCACACGAAGTAGCTGCGTCAGGATGGCAGTAGGCTCTTCCCGAGGCCTGACCTTGCACACTTACCAGGGCGCCACGTCAGCCCAAGTTCTCAAGCATAACAACTTCTTTCTCACATCCATTGAATTACAAAGAAATCTACTATAAGAATTTGTCTCAATTTAAGTCAATATTTAGAGGTACTATAGTCGACTCTTTGTTTTTTTGGATGATCAAGAGTGTTTGAGCCAGTTTACACGTACTTTAACTAATCTCTCAGGAACCTAGAACTACTGATTGTAAGAGCTCTAATAGTCATCCCTATTAGCAAACGAAGAGAGATTCAAACTTAAAACCTTTTGAGTAATACACTCAGTAGTCTGTATTGAAATACTCAAAAGTTTCAACAGTCTCGAAAAAATGGAGATAACATTTGATCGGACTCTTTATATTATATAGTTTTTTCAAAATTCATATCCATACACCATACTTTTAAGAAAGAGACTGTTGAAACTTTTGAGTATTTTAGTGGACAAAACTCACAAATCCTGTACACTTCCCGTACTAGATAAAAAGACATCTCTGTTCTTGTATCAACCATTCCTAATTTTAAAATTTTCATTCTGACCTCTTTTAAAATAAAATTGTCTTATGATATTTCTTAATTAAAATTATAACCTTAATCTTGCTCATTGACTATCACTGTTACATGTTGAATTCGTCATCAGTGAATTAGTTTACATATTTACATGTTTAAAGAATGAAGAAAAGGTCCAACTAAAGTTTCATACATAACATATATTTACAAAGAAGACTATAATTTTTAAATATTATAAATGTTATAATATTGTCACAAATCAATTAAACAATACACTATAGCTGCCACAAAATTTGAAGCATGCCTACTGCTTTTCTTTTTTCTTCCCACGAGTCTTGGTCAGTTACTGTCACCCTGCTGACTGCCACCTTGGCCACCACCCTGGGAAATTCCGTCCAGAATTACCGTCCGAATCGTAAACCGTTCAAGCCTCAATGGCGATTCATCGCCTGCTATGGCACGAGTGCGTGGCGAACCAACGCTTAAACTCCTTTGCATAGTTCTCACACCTCTCATTTGATCATGAGATTTCACGCGGGACGACAATTGGCCAATTTTCTTGGAAAATTCGACAAACTCGTCATGAATTCCTGGAAATATTTTCCTGAACAAGTCTCCTTTTCGTTCGTAGAGTTCCCTGAAATATTCTAACAACACAAGTAATCTTGGATCAAATGATTTCTCAGTAGTTGTAACTTTTGGTGGATAATGATCATTTTCCAATGGTGAAATATCATCAGTACTTGAACATGCCATATTCTTTTGATCATCCGAGAAATTCCCATATTCATAAGTTTCCGGCGCATAATATCGAGCATCCATGTCCATGATTTTGTTTAGAAGTTTGGATGATGATACAGACAGTAAGACTGAGAGACGCTTATCTGGGCTATGATGAGAAAATTGATAATGAATTTGCTTGGTGCTTGAAGTTATGTGATGTGTTAAAGCTAGCTAGAATTATATAGAGATTTTGAGCAACCAAAATGTTTGAAAAATCAGAGTTTTGAAGCCATGACCAAATCATTCTTGTCAAATTTCTAGGATGATTCTTGCTTTGGGATGGTTTTGACCAATGGAAGTTCATCCAAGTCAGATTCAATGGAGTATAATTGGTCATTGAAAAGATTTTCTTAAGAAACAAACATCACTAATTTTTTGAGTCAAAACAACTTTTCTGTGCTTCTAGATGTTTCAAGGAGCTTTCCGAGAAAAAAACTATAAAATATTAAAATACTTTACTTCTGTTTGCGTAAATGTAGCAAGTGTTTTACCATGTTCTGTTTGGAAAAATAAACACTTTTAAGAATATCCAGAATCAACTATCAAACACATGTTTTACAAATTCAACATGACTTTTCGTAAAAAAGATCCACAGTACAGATAATCTGGAAATTTGGGGAAGAGTTAACGGCTTTTTTCCACCCAAAAATGGTCGTGGACACTTTCTCACCCTAGGACTTTGAAAATACCCCTTTACAATCAAAATATTATGTTTTCCTCTTGGTTTGGTTAGGAAATACTGTGATTTACGAAAAAAAAAAAAAAAAAAAACCCTCTTTTTTCTTCTCTTCTTAGCCTCTTCCATTGCCGGCAATTGTTGCTAGCGTTGAGGGGTGTCGGCAACCAGAAAATCAACCAACTAATCACAAATACTGCAAATAAACATTCATCCATCGTCTTTCAACTCAACAAACATAAAAACTGAACGAATCAAACCCAATTAATCGATCAAAACTCAAAAAACCCTATGGTGGTGAAGCTTCAATCGGTGGCAATTGGTGAGCAATCGAGATTGGAAATGTTGGGGCTTTTGGAAATGAAGATTCAAAGAGTCGATTGGTGGTGGCAGTGACGATTTCCAACACCAAAAATGATAGGAAATCGGCTAGAAAGTTGAAAGGTCATGTGATGCGTGGCCGACAATCGGCGAGCAAGGGACAATGATGGAGGTAAGGGTTTTGTAGAGTGGGTTGTGGGCAGTGTGGTGGTGGTGTTTGGGGGAATTTCTGGCAAAGAAATCGATCAGAAATCTGGCTTGAAGAGTCAGCCATGCGAATGGAGGTGGTGGTGGGAAATGGTGAGCGATGATGGCAAATGGAAGCCTGGGCTTTTTAGAGGAGGTAATGGGGATCCTATGGGTGATCTTGAAAGTGATTTTAAATGTCAGGATCGACCGAAAAATGGCAAAAACCACCTGCTGTGACTTTGCTAACTTGCACCGTCCTTTTTATTTTCTTCTTCTCAGGTGGCCAAATGTTTGTTGATCATTCTACCCTCACTAATAACGGATTTTTGACCATTTTACCCTTACAACGAAAATTACTAAAAAAATTGTGCTTTAGTACTAAAAGGATATTTAAAAAGTGGGCGGGTATGAATTTGTCAATGGGCTATTTTTTGGGTGGGAACATGTCGTTAACTCTTTGGGGAATGACAAAACTTTACTAATCCCTGATGGCCGCTTAAATTGTGATTGATAATAATTTTTTGGATATAACAACAAATACAAGAGACAAACATGAACATAAGTTGAATCAATATTTTACAAACACAAAATACAGGGAAATAATGCAAAGGGATGATACAGAGGGTGGCCTATCAAAGGCCAAGATTTTGAAAACAAGATGGTACACTCTAACCCAGTATTCTAACACCTAGGTTAAGCTGCAGTGTTATATATACATATTTGGTCTGGTACGATCACTGAAAAATGAGTGATCAGCAGGGGGCATCCCAATTGACCTACTAGGGTGAAATGTAGGAAATCCTTCATTAGTTGGCATCCTCGGCATTTGATCAGAATAGGATTGCAACCTGCGGTAAGTAAATCGGTTGGAGGAGGATAGACCTGCATCCAGGTTCGACGGAAGCATCCCAACTAGTCTATTAAAAGGGTATGTTGAGAATCTTTGGTCAGCCTGTATTCGTGGCATCAGGTCAGGAGAAGAGGAAATGGTGGAGTAAGTAAATTGTCTGGAAGGGGGTAGACCAGCATCTGAGTTACCATCAAAAGTTGGCTTCTGAATGGATATTCTTGATGATATGTCTGAGTATTGGCTGGTGAAAACTCGATCTTCTATTGAATACATTGACCTCCTATCCATGGAAGGCCTAGTGACAAATTGATCCCCAGCTACCAGAAAATTACCAGCAGAAGAAGTGGACCTACTATCCCTGCACGAATTCGGTCACCAACAGTTACTCCAAGACCTGTACTAGGATAATAGTTTGCCAAACTTGGTTGAGAACCAGAAACCAGTAAGTTGGCTCTGCTCTCATCAACTGCATAATCGGTTGGTAATCTGAAAAGTCCAGCTAATCCAATAGGAATCTCTCCCTTGTCCCAAACTTCCGTAGCAGGAATAGAAGGGGTAATAGCTTTTTCAAGAGATTTTACTTCTGTTACTGGCATTCTAATAGAAGGTTTAATAGCTTTTTCAAGAGATTTCCTTGAAAGATTGATGAATAAAACATGGTGGAAACAAGAAAAAGATAAAAGGAACATGCATGTTGATTATGGAACATTCAAACATTAAACAACTTAAAATGAATTAAGTTTGGTTTATTATACCTTTTCCAAGTGCCTTATTTGATGAAGCCAAAACCCACAGGAATGAGTTCTCTACACTTTAACACCACCTAGTGAGAGAGAAAGCTTGGCCGATTTAAGAGAGAGTGAGAGCTTTGTGTTTTGTGATGAAAAAAATGAAAATTATCTACTAAAAGATGAACTATCATTTCATTTATATAGGCTAGGGTCATTATATAATTACATGTTCTTCACGGTTGCCACATGTGAAGGCTCATTTATACAATGTCCCTTGAATAATCATTATTATTCAAAAACCGATGTAAACTACACTAGTTTACACTAATGACCAGTAACATTAATTTTAAACCCTTTAACTCTTAAAGGTTACTCTTTAACCCATATAATTCATCTTAACACTTTAAGATATTATAATTAATCCAATTAATTATTATTCAACAATTTTAACCCTTTAAAATGTCTTGAACAATTACCATGTAACGGTTTACATGGAAATTCCATTATTACCCCCGGAAGGTGCTAGCCCTCTTCGGATAATCATTTGTTTCTCAACCTTCTTTAACTCCACAAGGCTATTGGTATGACCATGTAGGTCCATCATGGGTTAGCCGTAAGCCAGTTCCAAATGAATCCAAAGGCCCAACGACTATGGTAAACATCTAACAATATGTCATAGTCCCTAAACCATGATGAAGAAATACTTCATTGAACCCTTTTCAGATCATATGTACCATATAGGTAAGGTCCCTCCATTGATATATCCTAATTGAGTACAAATTCATGGAACGCCAAAATCCTAAACTCGATCTTCTACCGAATCGTCGATCAATATGTCTGGAACTTGTCATCACAAACTTACTTTCGTGTGACTAATAATAGACTCTTGCCAGAGGTTTTGGTTTTCGACATTTATCAACGTTCGTCTAGGAACCCGGATCCGGATGGAGTCAGCGGTACTCCTGATCCTATATTTCTGAGTCAATGGATCCCGTCTTGACCATCGTTCGTTTCTGTATATGAACAACACATGACCAAATAGGCTTTATCATACGAAACATAACTAGTCTCGTACTTAGACATCATATGAACCATACGCATCCGTATCGGATCCAACAACGACATCTCAGGTGAAAGGACTACATCATGCACTAATATAACTAAACAATAAATCATTGACTGCATGCTTTTCCAAGTGATTTGTCGTTATTCGATCACGTTTGAAAAATAGTTCACCAACCGCTAATCCATACTAATGGCCCAATGACATGACTATCATCGTCATCCATACTTATATCATCTCATGATATCTTTCATAAGCTTCTAGTATGCCTACTATGCAATATAGTTGCCCAAATTATATTGCTTCCTTAGGGAACCTTTTGATAAATTCATTTACCGATTAAATGAATCATCTGGACAATTCATATACATACTTTATTTTAAATGCATGACTGAATAAAGGAAGCAATTTATATATATGAATTGAAGAACTCTTTCTTCTATTATTTATGATATACTGATACAAGATAAAAATGCTCTGACCGACAACACGAATGGTTTCTAAGGCATACACTAACAAACTCCCACTTGCACTAAAGACATTCGATGTTGTATCTCATACCCATCTTCTCAAGATGATAGTCTAATTGATTATGTGTCATCGTCTTAGTCAGTGGAAGCTGCATTTTCTACTGAAGGTGTCTTCAGAATTATAATCTCTCTAGGTCCAATGAATTCTCTCAAAATTGATATTTGCGCTGAATGTATTTGGATTTTTGGTGTGCCCTTGGTTCCTTTGCCTGTGCAATAGCTCCAGTATTGTCACAGAACATGCTTATCGGGTAAGCTATGTTTGGAACCACCCCTAGTTAAATTACGAACTTTCGCATCCAAATAAACTCTTTTGCTGCTTCTGAAGCAGCAATGTATTCAGCTTTTGTAGTGGAGTCTACTATAGTTGTCTGTTTGGAACTTTTTCAACTAACAACACCTTTATTACATATAAAAAATGTACCCTAACGTAGACTTTCTATCATCAATATCTGACTAGAAATCAGAATCTGAGTATCCTTAAATGTTTAATTCTGAACATCCATAACTCAGAACCAGATCCTTAGTTCTTCTTAAGTACTTAAGGATTGATTTTACAACCCACCAATGTTTCTCCACTAGATTTGATTGATATCTGCTCATAACACTTATAGCATAAGCTATATCAGGTCTTGTACATAGCATTGTGTACATTAAGTTGCCTATAGCAGACGCATAAGGCACATTACACATCCATTGTCGCTCTTCATTGGTCTTTAGACCCATCTCTTTAGAAAGATAAAGACTGTGAGTGAAGGG